AACTCATCACTGTGGTCCATCTGGAGGCTGGTGTCTCTGAACTTACCGATCTGTTCCTAGACTCAACATGAATTTGATGGCACCGTATGCTACAGATTTCCAACTAGAAACTGATTTAGAAATACTTTGAAGATTGTTAACAATGCTTTTAGGATCTTGAGCGGGCGAAATCTGATAAAGGAATTCACTCAGCCGCTGGCCCATTCACTTGCCCTGACATAATTTTCATTGACAACACACACACAGAGAGAGAGAGCGAGAGAGAGAGATAAGAATAGGATTTTATTTTTAGCAATTTTCATACTATATTTAATACTATTTTATTGTATTATTTAGGACTGTCACTAACGATTATTTTGGTAATCAAGTAATCGGTTGATTATTCTGATGATTAATCGAGTGATTGGATAATTATACAGTTTTTATGTTGAAAAAAAATTAGTGAACAATAGCCTTTAAAATTACATCAAATACATATAGCAATGAGGTAATAATAATTAGTTCCAATAAAGTATAAAAAGCAGGTAATCATGATTTTAATGAACAAAAATACATAATATAATGTAGACAATAAAAACGACCTGACGACTGTTTTTGCACTTTCTGCATGACCTAATCTTTGTTTACTATTGACTTAACAACAATTAATTCAAATGTCCACTTAATCTTAAATATTTGGCCATTTCTTTATGACAGAGATTATACAGCCACTGTAATTTCTTGAATATGTGGACATCAAAAAGTGTAAACTCAGAGCGAGGGTTTAAACTTTTAATTTGAAACTGCGATGAACAGTTAGCATATTGAGAAATATATTGATGTATTCTACTGTGTTTGCGTAGGTTTATGAATGATTTACCTTACAAAGATGATGAAATGGCATTCCCAGATGAACGTTATATCATGCAGTCTTGGAAAACGATGTAATAATGCGTTTCATGGATTCTCGCCTCTGGAATGTGTCACTTCCGTTATTGTGCACTTACTCGACACAATGGGAGGTTTTTTTTAAATCAAGTACTCGAATTGAATCAAGGAATCATTATGTGTAATATAATAATACATTATATAATATTGAACAATTATAACTTATCGTATTAATATAATTATTAATTCATATAATTTTATTTTACTTTCATTTAATGAAATCAAAAAGCTGCAAGAAACAGCTTATATTACAATTCCACAATATTTATAAATTCATAAACACACTTTTGCCGGCAAACAAATATTATGCAAAACTTAAATGATAATGCTTGTAATTTAACTTATCTGCCAAACATAGATGAAGTTTCAACTGCAAGAAGTTGTGATTGTCTTGAAATGGAAGCATTACTTGAAATGGGTTGCAAATTTCAAGCATTATCAGTAATGTTTTGCATCATATATTATTTATCAATATATTATTTATAAGTATTAAAATAATTATCATATATTTTGGAAATGTAGTATAATATTATAGTTTTTTAATTCTTTCTTTCTTTCTTTCTGGTGTGGCCAACTATGTTAGCCAGCTAGGTGACATATTTAATTAGTCAGAATATTTTCAATATCAAAGTTTAGTACATCACATAAAATAAAGTGTTTATGTTTGTAATGGATGAAAAACCATGCAAGCCAATGTAACTCAATAATGGCCCAATAGGCCAAGAAACAGTTCCATTAACTGGTCCTAAATTCCCTCACCGGCCCCAGAACACCAGGCCATACAGCACAGGGTATAATCTCAGTAAATCGCAGCTAATAAAGAGCTCAAATACAGGAGGAACGCAAACAGAAGCAGGTACACAGAGTCTCAGATCGTAAAGTTTACTGCACCACACATGAAGATGCCTGGAATGTTGAAATGGCATTTGATTACAGTTACGCTTAAAACTGATGGCAGCAGAGGAAGAAATGCACATTCTCAGCAGGAAATCTCATCTTGAGGAAAACAAAAGCAAAAGCATCAGCATCTTTTTCCACATTACACTCAGGTACGATAAGATCAGAAAGCATGACGACACACCCACCACACAGAGCAATGCAAGGTATCTTCTTAATAAGACGTCATCTAAAATATGATGAATAATGAAGCCGGCCAATACAGCGCCTCCACTGCGGAGGTCACAGCTATAAAGTAGCTACGCCTAAGGGAACGGGAGAGTCGAAGATAGTAAAGCGTCCCTCAGGGAGAAACAGAGATTCTTGTGCTTGCTATCTCCTAAACACAAAGCCATCAGCGTAATATTTCACAGGAACAATGCGAAGAGATATGCGGCAGAATATTAGCCCAATGCATATCGCTACATAGTACACCCTCCGACAACAAATAGCTAGCTAATGTATCAGTATAAAAGAGCTCATTTTAATGAGGAGAGTCTCCACAGCAAGTGCGCCGTTGAGTGCAAAGGGCTTTTCTAATGTAGTGCATTGTGAAGTCCGGTATGTCTGAGTGGACTGTTGAATATTTCATGGCGGTGAGGGAAACAGCACGAGCCGCACCAACGGAGCCCCAGCTGATGGGAGGACTGGAAGGAGACAGACTGTAAGGTGAGACTGGGAGAGGATGTAGGCAGTGCCGTGGCAGCGTGCCCAACTCTAGCAGGAGCTACTGTCTCAGCTCAGCCTAAAACACCACTACATCTCACCCCAGCCTCACAAGGGCTGACAGTAGCAGTGTGCTTTTACTGATTGACCCGAACAGGCTGACAGTGGATGCCTATAGATATCTCATGGCTTTTTTGACACTATAAAAAACAGAGGTGTCGGCAACTAAAACAATTCTTGTGTTTGAAATGGCTAGTTGGTAGGGATGTAACAATATTATCAATATCGTGATATCGCGATAGCAAAACTGTCTGGATATTATTGTGGTCACACGACAATATGAAACAATAGGTTTTCCAGGCAAAAAGTGTAGTTTTTTTAATATATCTAAACTTTGTAGCATCTGTGTGTAATAATACACACTATATATTCTCTTTTTATATGACAAATACTCTGTAACCTTGCTATCTCCTAAACACAAAGCCATCAGCGTAATATTTCACAGGAACAATGCGAAGAGATATGCGGCAGAATATTAGCCCAATGCATATCGCTACATAGTACACCCTCCGACAACAAATAGCTAGCTAATGCATCAGTATAAAAGAGCTCATTTTAATGAGGAGAGTCTCCACAGCAAGTGCGCCGTTGAGTGCAAAGGGCTTTTCTAATGTAGTGCATTGTGAAGTCCGGTATGTCTGAGTGGACTGTTGAATATTTCATGGCGGTGAGGGAAACAGCACGAGCCGCACCAACGGAGCCCCAGCTGATGGAGGACTGGAAGGAGACAGACTGTAAGGTGAGACTGGGAGAGGATGTAGGCAGTGCCGTGGCAGCGTGCCCAACTCTAGCAGGAGCTACTGTCTCAGCTCAGCCTAAAACACCACTACATCTCACCCAAGCCTCACAAGGGCTGACAGTAGCAGTGTGCTTTTACTGATTGACCCGCACAGGCTGACAGTGGATGCCTATAGATATCTCATGGCTTTTTTGACACTATAAAAAAACAGAGGTGTCGGCAACTAAAACAATTCTTGTGTTTGAAATGGCTAGTTGGTAGGGATGTAACAATATTATCAATATCGTGATATCGCGATAGCAAAACTGTCTGGATATTATCGTGGTCACACGACAATATGAAACAATAGGTTTTCCAGGCAAAAAGTGTAGTTTTTTTAATATATCTAAACTTCTTATTCTAACATAAAAGGTCTTTAAAGTTGTGTTTTGGGCCATTATGCTTTGGCACAGTATCTGTCAAACAAACTAAAGCCAAAAGCACAACATGGCTTAATCCTTTCATCAAGTCTGTTTTCGCTATACGTTTATTGCACATGCTGTGAGTTTAGAGCGCATTTGGGAACGCAACAGCCTCCAGTTAGGCTTTATTTTCTTGGCAGATGATTACAGAATTTCACTAGATTTGTAGTGAGGCGCGTTTTTGTAAGCATGTTTTCACTGAAGCTAGAGTATTCCTTTAAAATAAAACCTCTACTGCCGTTTCCGTCAAAATAAAAGCTTAAAAGTGCCGTATGAATTGCTGACAGCTAGCGGTTTAAATGGGTAACGTACTGCAGTCCAAATTCAAAAGATCTCTTTCAAGTGTAGAAATTAGGAAAGAAGTATTGTAATTTCCCTACTGTAGTGTAAAGCAAAAATAATATACCTATGAAATATTCATTTATTTTACAGTGGAGTTGTTTTAGAATATGGCTATTACTGTCATTGTTATTATTATTATTATTATTATTATTATATTCTAATTTGATTGGCTTCCTAAAACACCAGTGTGAGTGTAATTTAGACTGAGACAGTATTCCACAAATAAAAAGAGGGTTGAGTCCCCTTTAAAGTTTAGGTACAAGTCAATTCACTGACTTTTTCTGACTTGAGTTTTCTTAATTAAGAACATGGGATGGAGCTCTTCATTTTGAACTCTCAAAGTGCATTAGATAGAATAATTTAACTTAAAAATGTGCAAAATTTTCATTTTTTCCAATCCTTCATTTGTCTTTTTTTTTTTTTTTTTTAAATATCGCAATAAATATAGTATTGTGGGCTTAATATCATGATATTATAGTACATCATTACATCCCTACTAGTTGGTCTAATAAACGTCCTGTAAATTCATACATTTGAGTTGTGTACATTTAAGAATTTGTAAAAATTACGCTCATGTTGTCATATTTATTAATTTATTATCTTTGTTTAAAAATATATTTCAAATGCAATCTTGTATCAAATCTTTCAAAATGCATGACCTGCGTACACCTATCAAGCATGTTTTTAATTTCTGCATTAAATTAGTTTGGAATATATTATCATAATGAAGAAAAAAAATATATTAAAAGAATGACATTTTTAAGTAGTTTGGCTCTGTAACATGTAAGCCAGGACAAGGAGGAGCGAGAATCCAAATGCAAGCACAGGGGTTTATTAAACACAAAAAACAAATAATCCAATCCACGAACCAGGGTACAATCCACATAGAGGAGTCAGGAACATATTCTACACGGAGAAGGCGAGAGTGTAAACCAGAAACACACGTACCCAGAAGGCACCGCGAGTTCATTGATAATCTCCTCGGCTGTGATAGACAGGACTGAATGTTCATTAACAGCCTCCATAGCCATAACTGGACAGGCAGAGAGTTCACATACGACATTCATAGCCGTGACAGGACAGGCAGAGAGTTCACATACGGCATCCATAGCCGTGACAGGACAGGCAGAGAGTTCACATACGGCAT